AGTGGTCACCTGTTGATGCTAACGGCTTGGTTTGTCAAACTATTATTCAGCGTTCCTTGTTGTCTCAGATAGGCTCTGTCTTCTAGGTGAACTGAAAGGAACAGAGCACAACAGAAAAGAGCAGTGGCAAGATAGCAAAGTTTGAAGTAACATGCAACCATTAAAGATGGAAAGTTCTGTAATGAAATGGCGTCAATAGTACACAGGAAGTGTTACAAGGGAAGAGGAGGCCTAAGCCTGCGGTTTGTGGCTCGGAGAGGAGAAGGGAGCCACACGCTTCAATGACCGGGGGAATTCATAGATTCTGCGGCCAATACTAAGTGGATGGGTTTAATACCTTTTTCTAGTTTGCCTGGGGTGAAATGAGGTCATTCCGCTCGAAGTCAGCATCGTGGTTGGTCCTTCTGTCGCCCCAAACACTTGGCAGCAGTGTCCCGGGCCTTTCGGTGCATCTGTACCTAGGTGCGCCCTTTCAAGCAACTTGACCTGGAACACAACCGGCGGTGCCGAATTGGTAATGTCGTGTTGCGGGCCGCACGAAGGGAAAGATACAGGAAAGTCCGAGACCCGTGCTCAGTCAGTGCTGGTGACGCAGATCAGACGAACCACCCGCCGGACCTCGAGCAGAGCTGACTGTCAAATTGCCACAGCCCGAGAGAGATTTCTACCTACAAACACAAAACAGGATGAAGAACAATTGAACCTCAACGTGAATTAAAGCTCTTTTATCTAAATCAAATTGAGTGTCTTTTTTTTTTTTTAGAAAAATCAAAGGCAACGGCTTTACTAAAATTATGGTAAAAACAAAGGGAATTATGACAATGTTAATTATCAGAATAACCTAGTCTCCCTTCGGAGGAGAGTTTTAGAGCCGCAGGAAGAGCACAGGAGGAAGCAGGCTGTAGTGGCGCGTTTGGGCCACAAAGGGTTTTGGGCCACTTCCTCTTAGTGGTCAAGCTGGCTGACAGAGAACTTGATTTAAATTGCATTCAAACTGGTTTAAATACGATTCAAATCAAGCGTATTCATAGATGTTAAGTAACTTCTAGAACAGCAAGGAGACAGTTGTAATAAAATCAAATCAAAATTATTAAAAATAATTTGAAAAGGGAAATATAGAAAAAGCCATAAAACAATTCCCAACGGGCAATGAGACTTAATTCAAATTAACCTTGAAATCGGTTTGTTTCAAACCAAATTTGAATAAGTGTAGGAAATTAAGGGTTGGCCTTATATTTGATGATCACGACCACAGTGAGGTGTCAGTGGTAGTAACCAACATAAGATCAACTGGGAGAAAGCCATTTCAAAACAGAGCGGTCATCAGAAACTGCTAAGACATAATTTTAAATTTTTTTAAGTTCAAATGTGGTTTGAACCAAAATCCAAAACAAGTGCACACAGTCAAGGCAGGGAAAATCATGTTAGTAAACGAGGCTGTAAATTGCCATGCATTGAAAGTTAGAAACACGAGTTCAAAATCTCACTGGTAAACTTTGAAGTTGTGGGAAGAGAAAATTGAAGAAAAGACGCTTTACCGCTAGTGTCCACACGATGGCGCTATTGCGCTCATGGAGGGTAAAGTCAGGACGTGGAGGCCGTCTGATACTGGGAAACTCAAGGGCGCGCCCTAGCGTTTGGCAGTAGCATTGCAACCCGCCTGCTTTCACAAGTGACTGTCTCAGAGGACGTGCAAAGAATTACACGCCTCAATTGCTGCATCAATCTGAAATAGTGCGGAATTTAAATATCGACGGATTTCTTTCCGGTTCTATATTTCACAAAACGGCGTGGCAGGATTTTTCCTACACACACACATAGGGACAACAGGAATTACACGTCTGTCGTTCGGACACACATACATTTATCGAATAGCATTTTATGATTGAAAAATGTTTTCAGTGTTGGATTTTTTTTCTCGGTGCTATGTTTTACAAGCACATCTAGCAGGATTCGTCGCTGCGTTGTGCGAGAGAAAACAGGAATTATTCATCTGTTTTCGACTCCAAGCATATATCAAATAGCACTTGTGATAATATGCTTTTCGGTTTTTTACAATTGAGTAGCTAAGTCAATGTTTTAACCAGGAGTTTTTATCATTAATCTAACGATTATAAAATAAGGCCTTTTTAAGAATAGTGAAAGAGCATCGATTCACTAAATCTTGTCTTCACCCTGACAGAAGAACATCGTTCGGACAGGGGAGTTTAACATTAAAAATGTCGTCGTTCAAAAGAGGTTTCTTTTTTTGTGGGACAAATTTAATACTATGAACTGCAGTTTACTTTTAGTTATTAACAATGGCAAACGGAATGTCAGACATTATTTTGCAGCGGTGAGTTCGCATTGCGTTCGCTCACTCGAGGCGCACGTACAATATTAAATCACAATATAGACATAGATTGAAAACTGATTTTGCTCATAAAACAAGTTTAAAATGTGCCCGCATTCTCCACCATTTGTAAGGATTCAGGGCGGATCTAATCCGTGGGGAATTTGCATAAATTAATTAATAATTGGTAATTAATAATTATTCATACATGTTTGGATTAGATCAATCTTACATTGAATTTACTCTCCCTCTAAGGGAGGATCTATCACTTTACCTGCATGCATACGTGTATCCTTGCATTTTAACTACAAGTTGATTGCATAGATCACGTTTTACAGACAGGTAAAATTTAATTAGCTCAATTGTCAGATTAATATTGGGGGAATCCCACATATCATCTTACTTCATAGGATTTCAGGAAACGCAATTCTCTGGCCAGAAGAACTGGGTTTTCTGCCCTATAAACACATACTCTTTAAAAGTATTTTTATTTTATAAAGCAAAGCCGTAGCTTGATCTATTCATTTCAGAGACCTGGAGTATGAGCAGACACAGTAACATCAATCAAAATGAATATAATGGATTTAATAAAGGCATGACTACTTATGTATTTACTACGGTTACATGGGATATATGTATTTACAAACACATAGACAACAATGAACAATACAATAAGACATCAATGAACGAGAAATGCATAAAGTTTGGACAATGGATAACGTACACGCGTGAGCGAGTAAGAGAGAGAGGAAAGGGGATGGGGAGAGAGAGAACAGAGAAATTGGGAGAATTTCATTGGCAGGAAGACATTCACCTCTCCGATTACAACACGGAACATCATCTTAAAACTTCTTAGAAGCTCTATAAAGAGATTTATACTTGCAATCAACGTATGTTATGGTTTCTCTCTGACTGTGCCGAAACATTCCTGTACGGCCCTGTCTGGCCGCGTGAGCTGAGTCCTTTGGGTGTGAGGAAGCGTCACGTGGGCTGCGTGGCGCGCGTGTTGAACGGAGGTTTACAGTCTTTGTTGTAACATTTCCAAAGGGAAATAGTTCGGCTAGGTTCGTTTCACTTCGTGGAAGTGAACTGAGTCGGCTACGGAAAACAAAACTTTGACTAACAAAAAGGGAATAAAGATCTCTACGGGGAAATCACGCGGAGTTAACGTTGCATCTTTCCATGGCTTTTGAAGAAGCGTGTGTGTCTCTCGGTCCGTGCGCGTGTTTCTCCTTCAAAGAGAGCGCGCGCTCGTTTAAAGGTCCCTGGTAGATGGATTTGCTGAAGAGATATGTCACGGTCACGGGGTTTCCTTTTCAATCGTCGATTGGAATTAAACACAGAGACTTATCTACAAATGAAAAACACAACTAAACTAGAAACAAATAAAAGAAAGGCGAAGAGCTCGCCCGGAGGCGAGACGTTACATCATGACACGGGAGGAAGAGAGCGAGCGCAGGGGAGAAGCGTCATTTATCACACTATGAGAAATCCAGCCTCTTCCTGTTGGCTTGGCCAATTAGAGGGTTGGAAGTTTACAGGCGGGACTTTGGGTTTTATTTCTCTTTGTCTTGTCAGACTGCTTGTCTAATTAAATTATGACCTGTGTTAGGAAGGGTCATTTCTACTGCAGAGATGTGTTATGCACATAATCATACCTTTTACGGTGTGTTCATACATATATCTGGCTGAGTCAAGTCAAGGGCATTTTTACGATATCAAACACGACTGTTATAGGTAAACATTTACATTAAAAATACACCTAGGGTATTTATAATTCACTTTTAAGTTACGGACAAATTATAGTCATTACAATGTGACATGGGCAAATGGACACACATAAAAACACATCGAATATATCGGGTTAAATGTCTTTTAAAGAAAAGAAGTTTCTTTCTCTTTGAACATCAAATTCCAAGTCAGTCATACAAGTGTCTCGTTACAGGAAACCACGCTCTGTCCTGAGTGTGGGTGTCAGCTGTGGGGGAGGTGTGTGTGTGTGTGTGTGTGGTGTGTGTGTTTGTGTGTGTTTTTTCAAGTTCCAGGCCTTTTGGGGCTAAAGGCTTTGGGATTTTAGCACGATGGTATTTAGTTATTCAGATTCACCCTGGCCCAGTCCTTACAACGTGTATACCTTGAACATGCTGTAAGGGTACACTTACACGACAACAATGTACTGAAATGGAAACATTTTTTAAAAGTTTTGCGTACGGACGACAACGTTGTCAATACGATTCCCGTTCACACAGAGTCCGCTGTGTTATTCATGCCAGGCCAGTAGTTGGCGATGTCACTTTGTAAAGAAACACTACACACCTAATAGGCTGAACACACAATACTCATGATTTTACCGTTTTCACAAATTTGCGTTTTTGTAGTTTGCACAGAGACGATAATGGTACACACTGTTATCGTGTAAATGGACGGGCAAGACATAAAAAGTTATGTTTTTAGTTGAAAATTCTGTATGCATCAGATGGTCCTGAACTATCCATGGGTGTCTCTTCTGATGCTGAGACTGTCTTCTTTGAGCTTTGGGTCTTTAGCCGTACAATAGACTGAGATGTGTGTGTGTGTGTACCATGACAGTCCTGCTGTTTTTCATATCGGTCGTGTCTGTCAGTATGAATCCTTCTTTGATACTCACCCCATGCCTCTCTGCTCCTAGGGAACTAATGCCCAAAACTCTGGAGGGTCAGCTGACTATGGAGAAGACACCGAGCTACTTTGTAACCAAGGAGGTTCCAGGCCGGATCCACGCCATGTGTAAGGACACTAAGCTGATAGTTGTGGTCAGAGACCCAGTAACCCGGGCGATCTCGGACTACACGCAGACCCGCTCAAAGAAACCTGACATCCCGTCTTTCGAGAGCTTGACTTTTAGGAACATCACAGGCAATGTAATAGACACCTCGTGGAGCGCGGTGCAGATCGGCATGTACGCCAGGCATCTGGATCAGTGGCTGCAGTTTTTCCCCATGAGCCAGTTGTTGTTTGTGAGCGGGGAGCGTCTGATCAGCGACCCGGCCGGGGAGATGGCCCGCGTACAGCACTTCTTGGGCCTGAGGAGGGAGGTCACGCACAAACACTTTCACTTTAACCCCGCCAAGGGCTTCCCGTGCCTCAAAAGACCCGAGAGCAACAGCAAACCGCACTGCCTCGGCAAAACTAAAGGCCGCACGCACCCAAACATTCATCCAGATGTGATTCAAAGACTGCGAGACTTCTACAAGCCATTTAACAAAAAGTTCTACCACATGACCGGTCATGACTTTGGCTGGGACTGAAGTTTTTTTTTTTTTTTTAAGAACACATTTTTGGAAAACAATTAATTGAGAAAAAAAAAAAAAGTATAGATCTATTTTATAATAATTTATTGAAAATAATATACTCACTTGGCTGCCTATCTGTTGTTGTACATACTGCAAGTTTCTACCTTTTTTACATTCCAGTCAAATCTGTAAGCTTGATATTTTGTCTTTTCTAATGGGAAGGATTGTTTGACGTAGGAATTTAACTCTTTCTCCGCCAGCGTCCGCATTTGTTAATTTTCAGAAAAAATGTTATGGCCCCCAAAATATTTTGTTGTATGAATATCTGGAAATGCAATATATCTAAAGAAAGAACAGCCCCTCTGCTTTGAAAAAACAACAACCTTTTATTCTAGCTTCATGCTTTTTTTTATCAACACCTGAATGTGGGTAAGTTTCATTAAAAAAAAAAAAAAAACAGCATTTTGAACAAAAAAGCTGAGAATTTCATTCGGATCAGATTTAAAAGGATAATCAAAACATATATGGAGTAGATTGAGTTCATCAACACCCCCAAAGCTTCACAGTCCTTTACCATTTTATGGGTTTGACATTTCATTCAGTAACGTTAGACAGTTTTGATTTATATGCTGTTTAATGTTTGATGATCCAGTTATTTAAAATGTGCGTAAGCAATCTTCTATCACTTGTTGCTGCTTCTTCTTCTTCCTGTGTTTTGGATCTGGAGATTCTGTACTATTTCAGAAGAAAATGAAGAAATTCGTAATAGCGCCCCTTATAGTATAACAGTGAAAACATGGATAGCTGGAATGGTGAGGAAAGAGTTAAAAGAGGGAATGTTTGACAAAGGAAAAGAGCACAATGAAACTAATTACGGGTATATGACGAGTCATATTTTGGTAAATGTCATCTAATGTTTTTTTTTTGAGGATTCCAGCATGTCATCCTTCATTTTAAAGGGGTCAAAGGGTCGATATTGAGTCTCAGCTGTTCCAAAGCCACATCTTGTGGATCAATACGCTTAAAACTATACGACGTGTCAATTATGTCAAAAAAAATGGTTTGGTACTGATGTTTAGGACAGCTGTTTAACATAATTTAAGAAAATGTAATTTTCTATAAATAGCATTACACACAGGAAGTCCTTGAAGACAGACATTTTAACTGTATTACAACCGTGCTTGATACTCTGTTACAAAAGCCTGTATTGATCATTTTCAACAAGAGAAATGCAATGCAGTCAGACAGAAATGTCATGTTATGACTTCATGTTACTGTAAGTTTTTTTATGAAACGTTTCATAAATGTTTTTGTTTTTTTCTGAGGGCCTCTTTCAGCATGAATATGAAAGGGAGAAGTTCGATTAAAATGGGAAAGTGACATTTCCCTGGTCATAATTATTTTTCATACATCAATGGTTGAGTTTTATTCAACCCTTATGTTGTATTATGCATTATGTATTTTCAAATGATGTTGTTTCTGATGAAATTTAGTTGAAAAATGAGTGCTCGGTTGTTTCTTTCCAAACAGGGGTACGAGACACTGAGTATTTCTGTGCTGTGATGAAATAAATCTATTTTTCCCAGAGCGTTGCATGTCTTATTGTGTTTATTGATGCGAATATAATTTTTCACGGTTTCCACAAAAAGCAGCACAGCTGTTTTCAACATTGATAATAATCAGAAATGTTTCTTGAGCAGCAAATCATCATATTAGAATGATTTCTGAAGGATCATGTGACACTGAAGACTGGAGTAATGAAGCTGAAAATTCAGCTTTACTATCACATAAATTACATTTAACAATATCGCCAAATAGAAAACATTTATTTTAAATTGTAATAATATTTCACAATATTACTGTTTTTACTGTATTTTTGATCAAATAAATTTAGCTTTGGAGAGCATTAGAGTCTAATTTAAAAAACACAAAAAAAATCGGGTAGTGTCCAAGCATAGAAACATAGGCTAACTGATCATTTTGAATAAGTATGATCAGGCAGACATCTCAGAAAACAAATTTTTAATTTTTACGTCTCACTCATATCAGATTTCTGCTCTGTTTTTCTCAGCTGTCAAACAACAGCAGCTTAGCACATATCAGCCTGCGGGTATCTGTGCAAACAACAATCCCCCAGCTGGGAAAAAGCATTTACAGTTGGTTTCGACCTTCTCCCTGTATAATTGCTGAGAGGGTGCTTCTTCGCGAGCTTTGCCTGGTATCCCGCTATTGCCAGGGGCTATTTTAATGCCCTGCTAACAGCCAGACGAGGGCCATTTGTAAGCCGTTAAAGATGGCCTGATAATAGATGGAGGTAATCACTCGCTGCTTGTTGATCACATCAAAATGCTGCCTGGGACTAAAGAGGACAGGCGTTTGCCAGTGTAAATTGTGATGTGATGTGTTCCCAGCAAGCAATTTTGCTTTTTAAAGACGTCTAATACCCGTCCAAACAAGCCCAGACGTCCAGGCTAAAACAAGGCAAAATTTGGGCTGTCAGTGAAAATGTAATAGACGTCTAAACCATAGCCCAAGAATATACTAGTCATCAATTTCACTAGTTCACACTTACAAATAAGTTAGATAGAATAAATGGTATGCATATTTGGCGTGCTGTCCGGGGAGAGGGCTCCGGGCTCGGATATTTGGCCCGAACCCAAAGTACTCCCCCCGTATTGCTGGTTTAAGTAGTAACCAGGTGAGTGTGAGGAGACGGGGTGGTGGAGGGATGCTGAAAAACTGTCGAAGAACATTGGTGAGTCAAATGTGTGTATATATATAGGTCTCCAACTCGAGCTGATTGGATAGACAAGTTGATTACTGATGGTCGACATAATAATATTAATAATAATAATAATGATAATTTGATCAATTATTTGAACGTGCTCCTCCCGAACTTTGTTAATAAAACATCATTAGATAACAAAGAAATGAAATGAGGGAAGAAATGAAACCAAAATGTAAACACTGTTTGAGGGAATATCTCGCAAGTTATTTTGGCAAAAACAACATTTTGTCTAGAAGTGGGTTACACATAGCCGGACTATATCGGGTCTAGTTAACCTAGACGATGAAATGACGGCTATTTCTTGCTGGGTTTTGTCAGACTTGTCAAGCCAGCTAACTAATATAACTAAGGGGTTGTTTAAACGACACCGTTTTCAACTAAAAATGGAAAACTTTTTGTGCGTCTTGGCTGTACATTTACACGACAACTGCGTTTTTGGGGGCCTGAAAACGCAAACTTTCGAAAATTGTTTTCAAAGAGCAAGTTTTTTTTAAAAACAATACCATTCTCGCCTCTATGTAAACTACAAAAACTAGCATTTGTGAAAACGGTGACGTCATGCGCATGAGTATTACGTGTTCAGTCTATTCATACTTTGCACGTGACGTCACAAGTACTGGCTGGCGGGCAAGAACGTCGTTCTCCAGCAACGAAACCCTGTAAGCTAATCAAGGATCTTGTCAGGACGTCGCCAGTTTTACTATACAAAAGTTGGTGTTTTGAGGTTTGTGATATCTATGGTTTTCAATGAGTACCAGAGATGACCCAACAGTAGAGCTAGGTTATTTACGGAGGAATTATTACTGCTCGATTATCTTGTTCGATTAAACCTTGTCTGCTTTACACAATTTAGCTACCTTGGAGTTAATCCTATTTCTAGTCCATAGTTATGCAGCTAGCTCGCTAACAGACTTGATAGCTACTAAAAGACCCATAAGACCTGGAACTACAGGACTCTACGTTGAAAATACCCGTTTGTTGCCCGCCAGGTATCCATGGTAGTCACGTGACTGCAAAGTATGAATAGGCGTGTAGTGTTTCTTTACAAAGTGACATCGCCAACTACTGGCCTGGCATGAATAACACAGAGGTTTTAGTCGTTTTGACAGCGTTTTCGTTCTAACATTCCTATTAAGTTATGATAATGTAATTTCGCAATGTTCTCAGAACATTCAAAACGTTAAAAGTTTTAAAAAAAAAATTTTTTCTTGGCTATGTGAACGTTTTCTCTATTTTATCATTTTGCAAGTATTATGGGAGAATACATTTTGAGTGCGCCACTGAGTGCGCCACTTTCTTTCATTTTACAGTTGTGTTAAATAGTTAATTTCATGTATGTGCAGTAAATGTAAAGCGTTTGAACAGGGAATTATTTGAGTGCTTGTAAGGCTCCAATCTCTCTTCGATCACCAAGGTAACAGTGTTAATAATGTGCAAGTTAACAGCAGGTGCTGTTTCAGGAGCCCAAGGGAAAGGTCTCCACCCTCTAAATGGTCTCCTGTGAACTAACAGCAAGTGCTAAAGGCTATGCTGTGTCCCGACGCCCCAGAAAACAGCTCACCAGGTTGAAAAATACTGAAGAAATTGGTGGCAATATTGTGGCTGGTCTCATTATCTTACTGTTTAAATAGTACTGATTGAAGAAATCCAAACACATCTTTTCTATCAATAGTCATGCAGTGTCTTTTTTTTTTTTTTTTTACCAAATGACAAACAAAGAAAATGCTGTGCAATGAGATATGAATATATTTGGAAATAAATTAATCAAAATTTTGAAGTAGATCTGTTAAATAATTTAGGCTATAATATACTTCCATTCTAAAGTTTATTTAATAAAAAAAAAAAAAAATTGTAAAAACAATCTTATTGCAGAGACAACCATCCGTAGGCTGGAACCATTAACATTCACATTAATCTCAATGGCAGTTGCTTGAGTGGTGCAGGATCCCCCAAAATATGTCTTCTCTGTTTATTGGCGCTCAGTTTTATGGCCTTGTATTTTTACCTGAGCTGGAACCACAGGGAATTCCTGACTTTGTTGAGGGACAGAAGTCCACTTCAGAGCCTTCCAAAAACAAATGGAACACTGGTAAATATATACAATAATATAAAGAAATAATTTATAATTACAATATAAATTTGTAATTTGTGCCGCTCAGAAAAAAAGTTTCATTCCGAAAAATACACTGTGTTTTATTGGCCGTCAAAAAATATGCTTTTTGCTGTCAGATGGTTCCAAC